GAGTAACCATCTCCATGGTAACCACAGCTGGCCCAGCAGGTCAGAGCATGGGTACCTGACCAGCAAGGATGGAAGGACCCAGGAGGCAGGTGGGAAACTAGCTGGAAGCAGGAAGCTATGTGGGAAAAGGAAAATAATGTAGCTTCCTTAATGCCCACAATTACAGAAGTCATGAAGGTAATAATTCTTATTCGTGGAGGACTATCCCACGTGCTTTATGCATGTAGGTTTATATGATCATGTTGAATGCTCACCATAAGAGTTAAAATACCTATGAAGGGGGTACTATTACTTGTCCCACTTTACAGATGAAGACATTGAGGTTCAAAGAGGGTGGGTGGCCCACCCAAGGTCACAGGGCTGCTACACATGAGCCAGGTTTAGAAAAAAGGCTTAGAAACCTACCATTAAAACTGCCCTTTCTTCGGGCATGGGAAGAGGAGTTCCTGGCAGGCTGGGTCCTCAGCCTCCTCTCTGTGCCAAGGACGGCCAGGAAATGTGGAAACCTGGCATCCGTTGTCTGAGATCCTCGTTCTTGGCCCTTAGCTGCATCAGATCCATCTGGGGAACTTTAAAGAGATACTAGTGCCCAGAAGCCAGCCCAACCCGGTTATATTAGAATCTTGGTTGGTAGTTCAACAGGTATTGCTGTGTTTTAAAATGCTCTCCCGGTGATTCTTAGAGCCTTGAAAAAACCATAGTCTTAAGGATCTACTCCTGAATTGATAAAGGTGCCTAAAACAGAGACCTAATTTTGCAATCCTTAGTTATTTGATAGAGCCTCTGGGAAGAAAGCTAGGCTATACTGGGTGCCTACGATGTGCCAGATCCTGAACGTAGATGTGGTCTCTCAATACACCCTTATCTGGGATCTCTGAGGAGCCCAGAGGGATTAGCGAGTGGCCTTCAGGGGCCAGGGTGGGGCAATTGCCCTATTCCCTCTTACGCCTCAATTCCCAGGAAATGGATGTGCTGAGGGCTTAAACTGTAGCAGTAGACAGGTGGACTGGGGACAGGTTCCTGCTTTCTCTGAGGATATATGAGCAAGTTGGTCAATCTCAGGGACTCAGTCTGTTTTCCTGTAAAATGGAAAATGGTGCTCATAGTGTATGCATTTTCCTCGGGGCTGTATTACCCTCAAGCGGGCGTTATGAAGGAGGGGCAGAAGTTTGCACTTTATGTGTGTGTATAAAGCACAGAGGCACATAAGTACACAGACACAGAGTGTATCTGTACCACTGACATTTCATGGTGGTAGTGGTGCCCGGGTGGCTCAGCTGGTTAAGCATCTGACTTCTGATTTCAGTTCAGGTCTTGATCTCAGGGTCGTGAGACCCAGCCCCAAGCAGGGCTCTGCACTGGTGCCTGCTTGGGATTCTCTCCCTCTCCTTCTGCTTCTACCCCTGCTTATGCTCAATCTCTCTCTTTCTCTCTTGGAAGGAAAAAAAAAATTGCAATTTCTTTAAAAACCAACAAAGCAATTCATGACAGCAGTGGCAATTAGGCAAACAATTTTAAAATCCTGCGGGGTACATCGTGGGAAAAAAAAAGTTGAAAATGCTGCTGTTGGTTAGAATTGAGACAGAATGGAGAGGCTAATGTAGAGTCCTTGGCCCATGGCCTAGCACACAGCTGCCATTCAGTAAATGGTAGATGTTGTTCCTGTTATTTGTCAAAACATTCATTCATTCAACATGCGCACTGATCCCAGCTTTGGGACTCTACACGGCATTACTAAGATTAGGAAGAAAGTTAAGGTATCACCTTTGACTTCACCAATGAGCTAAGTCAAATCTAGGCATGGGAAGCCAAGTGCTCTTATAAATGGATGCATGCAGGGTCTGGGGAACTCAGGGGACAGCAGGGACATTCATTTCCTACCCATCTCCAGTGCCGGGCTCATCCAAGACAAGAGTGAATGAGGGACCTTCTTTCTCAGTCCCTGCCCTTGCTCGCAGCAGCTTCTGCTCCCAGCATTAAAGAGGTACATGTCCCCCAGTCTGCCACCACTAGGGTATCATTTTGCCCCTGGAGAGCAGTTAAGTGTCGTCATCACCAACGGCCTCCTGTATGCAAAAGCGCTCTGTTCATTGCTGGAGATAGAGGGATGGATAGAAAAATAAGATGAAATTTCTGGTCTTGGTTCTTTTTTCAAAAGAAGATTTATTTGTTCATTTATTTGAGAGAGAGAGAGAGAGAGAGAGTGCAAGCACACACAAGCAGGGGGAGGGGCAGAAGTAGAGAGAGAAACAGGCTCCCCACTGAGCAGGGAGCCCATTGTAGGGCGTGGATCCCAGGACCCTAATTAGGATCATGAGCTGAGCCGAAGGCAGACGCTTCACCGGCTGAGCCACCCGGGCTTGGTTCTGATGAGGAAAACAGATACATAAAATGGGGATATTGATATGACATGATATGGAAGATCCTGTATGCAGGAAACTCAGGGACCATGAGGAGGGCGAGCTGCGGAGCTGACTCTTCTAGAAAGGCTGAGAGTTAACAGGGTGAGGAAGGCAGGCAGTAACTTCTGTGCGGAGGGTGCAGTAGGAGCAGAGGGTGGGAAAATGCAGAAGGCAGAGGCTGGCGCAGGGAAGAGTCATGTGTGAGGCACGGAGTGAGGGTAGAGGCCAGAAGGGAGGCCGATGGACAGCTTAGCCATGGAGGACCTTGACCACCGGCATCATTTGCAATGAGGGTCTGTATTTGTATGAAACTCAGGAAGTGGCATGTTGGTTCTATAGTTGTGATGGGAAGGTCCAAAGCTTTCTTCAAGGAGTAAGTCTTGATGTGGCCTTCCAGATCCCACCTTTCCAGCTTCTCTCCATTCTCTGTTCCTCACTTTCTCCCTTGCTCTCGTGCCCATCTCACTGGCTTATTTGCAATCCCGTGAGTGCCACTGGACCTTTGCACATGCTGTGGCTCTTTCTGCCTGGAGTAGGTCCCCTGTTACTTACAAGACTATTGCATTAATTTCTATCTCTCTGACTATACTTCAACCCAGGGACTGTGTCCCTTTACTCAACATTATAAACCCAGCATCTAGGGTTTCTAGTAAATAATTATGGAAGGAATTTGTGGAGGCAGGAAGGAAGAAAGGAAGAAAAGAAAGGGAAAGGAAGAGAAAGGCTGAAGTAGAACCCCACAAATTTGTATGCCTTCCCTCACCCCCAGCCCTCCCCAGCTCAGTCTGTCTTGCATCCCTCCCAGAAGCTAGGGCCAGAACCCGCCAGCATCCTGGCAATCCGGCAGGCCCTGACATGTGAACAATGTGTCCCAGTGGGTGAATGCTAATCGATAGTAATGAAACAACGTATGTGTCTCTCCTTCATAGTTCACCTTCAAAAACTGAAACCGGGCATGCCCAATTCATCCTGGCTACCACGATGGTCAGAGGAAGTGAGTCAATGTCTGAGACACCCAACGGTCCCCTTGTGCATCCGCAGATGCCCCTGAAGCTGAGTGGGCAGCCCGTGAAGGTGGCGAGACCCTGATGCAGAGGAGGCTCAAAAGGGCACCCTGTGGTGTGCATCAGGGCTGGGAAGGAGCCCAGCAGCAGGACAGACTGGGTGCTCGTGCCCTGGTGTTCAGGTTCTGATGAGGCTTCAGGAAGGCTGTGTTTTATATGAGGCTTAGTCTTTACAGAAACATGTTGTTGCAAAAGACAAAGGGACCTGGGCTCAAATCTTGGTTTCATCATGTGGGCCACCTGCCTTGCCCTCTCCGAGCCTCAGTTACCTTACCTATAACCTGGGGTCCAAAAAGTACACCTCATTCGTTGCACAGATTAAATAAGATAATGCACTTAAAATGCCCAACACTTATCCTCGCATGTGGAAAAGATTCAATTCACATTAGCTATTACCATTATCAGCTAATATGGTCATTGTCACCATAAGAATGATCTCCCAGAACAGAAAGATCAGCTTAGTTCATCAGATATTTATATGGCTTTAACAGCGTGCTCAGCCCGGGGTAGACATTGTCACCAAAGACACGCAAGAAAGTTCCTCGTGGCGATATTTTGAGAGCCCCGACCTGGAAATAGCCCTGAATGCCATCAAGAGTGGAATAGATAAATTCATTAGAGCCACATCCCCGAATCCTACCCAGTGGTGAGGGTTAACTGCTGTGAGTCCCAGACACACGGGTGACACTCACGAGCACAACAGTAAGCGGGAGAATCCAGACACGAACGAGCACGCGCTGCGTGATCCCACTTGCAGGAAGCAGAGATCCGGGTGGACAGACCCGTGGTGTTAGAAGTCGGTGTCGCGCAGCCGTCAAGGAGGAGGCTGGGGCTGGTGCAGGAGGGAGTGGGGAGGGCGGGTAGTATTTTGCGTCCGGGCTAGGCCCTGGGTATACGGGCATGCCCGCCTTATGAGAATACATCAAGTTGTTCGTTCTGATGTATGTGCTTTTCCCGCGTCTGGGTCACGCTTCAGTCAAAGGCTTGACTAGACAAGCAAGCCTGTTCAGCAGAGAGCTACGGAAGCAGAAGCGGGGTGAGGAAAGCAAGCAGTACAGTTCTGTGCTTGCCCACAGGAACACCTGCTTTTCCCTTTCCTTCCCAAACACGACCTGACCTAGCCGTTTGACTGTAGGAATTCTGTCCACGTCTCTCCCGCCGCTGCGTTCATCCGGGCTGGGCATCCTTGGTACAAGACCAGACTAACTGGTGTCCTTGGCCTCTCTGCTCACCCAGACTGCCCTCTGGAACCCCGAGCGGCTGTCCGAAAAGATCCCGTTTATCCATGCACCCTCCGTGCCCGCCTGGAACACAGGAGGTGATCAAGGACATATCCAGAATGGAGGAGGCTCCCCAGCACAGGCAAAGCCAGACGGCTGCAAGGGGGTGCCGTGGGATAAGGGGAAGTGTTGTTAGAGCTGCGTGGGGGGTCGGTCACCCACATCTGATAGAGATTTCTCCAGCACCAAGCGGCCCGACCTACTCACACTCTTCCGTTTTTGTTCACCTGTCCTGTTTTGTTTTGTCTCCCCAGTGACCTTCAGTGACTGCGAGGGAAACAGCAAGGTACACTATGAGGTCTCAAGCCCATACTTCAAGGTGAACCATGATGGCAGCTTAGTTGCCCTGAAAAACGTAACTGCGGTGGGCAAGACTCTGTTCATCCACGCCCGGAGCCCCCACGCAGAGGACATGGCAGAACTCGTCATTGTCGGGGGAAAGGACATCCAGGGCTCCTTGCAGGTAACACCGGTGTTTGGGATAAACTGGGTCCACAGGGGAATGCCGGGGTCTGGACGTCTTATGCGGAAAATGGTTCTTTGGTTTCTTATTGGCCAAGACATTTTTGTTGCTGCAAATGACAAAAACCTAACTCAAATAACTATCAGGGCAGGAGTAGTACGTGAAAACATATTGGCTAATGCGGCAAATATCTCAGGATAATTCTGCCTTCTGGCGTGGCTGTGTAACAGTGCCCAGATATGCCGTCTGCCTTGATCCCTGCCCCTGCTGTGGTTCTGCTTTCTTTCTGTTGGCTTCACTCTTAGACAGTCACATCCCTCTCTGCCTTCCAATGTGCAGATCTCAGAAGCTCTACTTCATTTTCCCAGCCTCAGGTCCCCTGGGAGAGCTCCTCTTCCTGACAATGCCAACAAACGCTTGAAATCAAATCTCACTGGCTCCATGCGTCCACCCTCGAACCAGTCACTGTGTCCACTGGGTAGCGATGCTCTAGTTGGCTAAGTCTGAGTCCCTGGTCTTATCCTGAAGCCAGGGTAGAGTCAGCCCCACCTAAGACATACAGTCGGACAGCGGAAGATAGGTAGTTACTCGAAGTAAATTAGCGTGCTGTTGTCTGAGGATGGGGAATGGTGCTTGGAGAGGCCAGGAGCACGGCGGCCCACTGACTTGTGTCGCAAGGCCGCCGTTGCATATGGCACCGCTCCTTTGCCATGCCCTGGTGCTTGTTCCTTTCTAGATGCACACGTATGCTGATCCTTGTACCTGTGCACAGGTTGACACACTTTAAGAATGCCCTTTAGACTTCCCGATTGTGTCATCCAGAGACTTTTGCTACCGTGGACTCACCTACCCATCCTTCATCAAGAGTTTAAGGACTCTGTGGTTTCTTGATGAAAGGAAAGTCACACTACAAAACCCAGACAAAACAATGGCAATAATAATGGTGTGTCCCCAACTGGGTGTGGCTGGGAGCCTTTGCTCCTGCTCCATGGTCTGCTCTTAGCCAATTTTTCAAAGCGTTGATTCTTGCCGCCTTCTCCATCTGCCACGCTCCCCATAACCTTGATTTATCTGCTAATTTTGTTCAGCGGTGGATGGTGGGAGTGGCGCGAACACTGATTCTACAGCCCAGGAGCAGAGATAGAGATGGTCTGTGTGATCTTGAAAGAATCATCAAACTCCTTCATCTGCAGACTGGTGGGGCGAAGCAGTCTGGGACAGCTAATAAGTGGCAGGTGCATTGCCCCATTCTGTCACCATATTCATGGCAGATATGGCTAATTATCCCTGGCTTGACCTGAGTATCGCTCCCAACACAGTGCTTCTGGAAGCTACTATCCATTGATCATTCACAGATATTTTCAGGGATGGAATGTATTCGCCATGCCTGGACCAGACAGACCCCACAATTTCCCTTCATATCTGGGAGTCTAAGAGTTAAGGGTAGATAGCAAGCTAAAAAGTGAATCTACAGAGTGCCACTAATATTTTCAAAGAAAACAGGGTATTGATGAATACATCCAGTGTGGAAACCCACTAGCACCACAAAAGCAAGCTTTTCTCTTTTCTCTTCAGCCATGGTCATTTTCACAGCATCTCTCTAACTTGTGATATAAATGACTTGATAAATATCTAGAGTAACAAAATTGCTGGGATGTGTAGCACAAAGTGCTTCTTAGAAACAAGTAAATAGCACAGAGATTCACGTACGGGGGTTTGCGTGGGGGATGGGATGTGTTCAGACGGACATCGTTCATCATGATTCATGGCTCATCTTTAAATCCAGGACAGACAGTGTCATACTGTCTGTCCTGCTTAAAGCAGAACGGAGGGAATTCTGGACCCTTCCCAGGACAGACTCCACCTTGAGAGGCTCTGAGACATGAGGTTCAATACAGAGACTCGGTCTTGAAGAACTGGCCTCTTGAGTCCCTGAGAGACCCCTCCTGGCGGCCAGGCCCCCTCTGTTAGAGCCCATTGTCCGCAAAGCCTGGCTGCCATTGACAGCTTCTTGCAAAGCCTGGTGGAGGCTGCTGGACCACTCACTTTGTCAGACCCCAGCAGAGAAGGGCCCTCACCTGCTGCCTCTGGTAATTTCATGAGGTTTGAAAATAGGCCTTGTGAAGCTGCCCAGATGTGTCTGTAATAAAAAGTCCCAAAAAATTAAAAAGAAAAAAAAAAGATAGGGAAAAAATAAATAGCTAGCCAGAGAATCCCTCCAAGGAGAACACAGTTCTTAAGAGATATTTGTTTGGTATTTTGGAGGCCCTACTATGTGCAGCCAAGTGACCAGCTGGCACAAGTCAGAGCCATATGGTAGCAATGGAAGAAACCAGTCAGAAAACGGGTGGTCAGGAAAGGTGCTCGATTTGCCAGGTTTGGATGTGTTGAGTTGGTGCCTTCTAGGGATGTCCTGATAGAGATGATAGAAAATATGGGACTAGATCTTAGGGTAAACACTTAGGGGGAGAACAGTATAGTGGTAGGGCTTTGGCTATGGTGTTGAACTCAAGTGGTTTCAAATTTCCACTCCACCACCTATGACTGTGATGTGGGACGAGCCAGCCAACTCCCTAAACCTCAACACCCTTCTCTGTGAGATGGGGGTAAGCACAGTCTGCATCACAGAATCATTCTGTTGGGCACTGCCCAGAACACCAGGTGACTTATCCCGACAATGGTGCCATATTGGAACCTCTCAAGAAAGAATAGGTACTGGGGGTTCAGTGACCTCACTGAGCCCGGGAGACAGAAGGCAGAGAATAAGGGCAGGAGGAGAAAGTGAAAGTGAAGGAAGAAAGAGAAGGTGTGTTCAGCAAGGGCACTGGGGTAACCACAGAGCCGTATCGCAGTGGCTAATTTCACACCACTGTGTTTTGGAAGGAAGGACTCTCGAAGATGAACGGAACCCCAGTAAGGCCCAGCTCTGTGGTAGTCACTAGAGCTCAGATCTTTAATAACACAATGTGTCTCTCTTATTTGTACCTGCTGCCTGGACCCCCTTCCACCTGGAAAGTCTCGACCTGTGAAATCTTGTTGTTACTAGCTTTATTATAGACTCCCAAGCTGCCTCTGCATTTTGAATGGGCTTCCGAGGAGTTAGGACCTGTCTCTATGGGCAGTGTAAGGCCGCTGTAGACGGGAGAGGGCAGAGGACCGCCTTAGTCCCTCGTGATCTGAGAGGGGAGGTGGGATGGGTATGGAAAGGCCAAGGCTTACCATGCTTCCTGGATGGGTTTCTAGCCTGGGGAAGGTCATGATGAGTTCCACTCACGATGCTATGTCCGGACAGATGGTAGTTTGTCCACCCTGAGTCTGCTGTCCCTCCCTGCCAGACAGCGGTGAACAGGAAGACAGCAGAGTACTCGCCTTTATTTGTCTATTTCTACTTTGGACAGAGGCCTCCAAGGGTTGATATGGGCACACTCTGCTTCATTCCTACAGAGGTGTCTCCCCTGCTGTACAGATGGGACTCATCCATCCCAACTTCACGTCTAGCATAAAGATGTTTTTTTAAAGCCATCTTTGCATTTAGTTTTTCTTTCTGACTGAGGAAATTGTAGCTTCGGTGACTGTAGATTATAGCAAGGAATACTGACATCGGTTACAGAACTGGATGAGGCCAAGCTGGGAAGTAAGAACATCAGGGAGAATGGAGAAATTGACTTTGAATTCCAATCTGAGAACTGAAAGAGACTGTGCTCGCCAGGCTCGTCTTGAAATGTGGGCGTCCACTCTCTAAGCAGCTGTAGAATTTCGGTACCCAGGACGGCTGAGTCCTCAAGAACAGAGCAGGAGATGTAAGATGCTAAAGCAGGGAGAGGTGTGGTCCCCTGCGGGCTGCAGGCTTGGAGCCAGCTCTCACACTGGGGCTGCGTTTTAAGTGCAGATCTGATCACTTTACTCCTTGCTTAACTGGGACCTTGCTCATCAGCCCTCCTGGGCCCTGGGATAATATTATGCAGCCTTCACAAATGTCTGGAAAGGCCCGTCACTATCTAGCGTGGCTGGTCTCTGCAGCCTTCCCTCAAGTCTGCTTCCTTTCACCTGTAAGGGGCTTGACCTGCTGAAATGCTTGCCCTCCAAGAGCTTTCCCTGCTCCCTGTGCCAAAGGAGGGTCTCCCTTGGTACCAATGGTTCTGCTCCCTCGTGGCCTTCTCAGTTTGAAAATTATGCATTTATTTCGGATTCCCTGATCCCCAATAAGACTGTATAAGCTCCCCGGAAGCTGGAATGTAGTCTGTTTCCTTCCTATTTCCTTCTTCCCTCCTTTCCTTTCTTCCTTCCTTACTTGGTTCTTTTCTGATGTGTCCAAGGCTCTATCCCTGGTACCCAGGACAGCGCCTGACATATAGCTGGTGTTTATTGAATGTCTTTTGAACAAATGTCCGAATAGAATGTATGACACCTTTCACACTACTCTCTGCATTGAACTCTGGGCCCCTCACTCCAATACCAAACCACCATGGTTTCTTGAACTGGCCAAGCTCGCCCTCCCATTCATGCTGGCTGCCCCTCTGTCTGGATTAGGTTCCCTTGCTGTGTGGCCAGCACCAACGGACATGGCTACTTCCTTTGATATTTCTGGACCCACCAAGATTTCCCTCCCTTAGGGACACCTCTCTGTCTGTTCCCCCCAGATCATTAAGTGTTTTTTTTTTTTTTCCTTCATGTTCCTCATAGAACCCCTCCTGGCTCTCCGATCATACCACTAAATTTTAACTGCCCAGTTGATTTGTGCTGGTGCCCGTCTCTGTTCAGAACTCCTGAACTCAGGGACCATGATGCCTTGGTTCCCAGGCCTATACTTATCCCCTCTGTTCCAGTTCCCTCAGCTGCAAAATGGGTTCATGACATTATCAACTTCCTAGAGATGTCATGAGGATTAAATGAGTAAATATGCACAACACATTTAGAACAGTGCCCAGCACAAAGTACGTGCCATGACCATGCCGGTCATTCTTCATCGCTGTATCGTCAAGCCAGATGATAATAAATGC